CTCACAGTTATCATTAATAAAACCGATTGGATGGAAAACGCCTACTGACCTCGGTTCATCATGAAGCTGGGCAAATACTCCATCGAACTGGGGGTAGCTACACCTACTTGGGACAAGCAGTACAAATGAACAACGAAATAACGCAAGAGATAGGAGCAGACTGGATAACTGGATACTTTCGCCAAGCACCGCGGCCAGAAAAACTTTCGCCAAGCACCGCGGTGTATTTACTACTAAAAGACTATCTGCAAAAACAGCAATTTTCAATTCGACCGTTTTACCAGCCATGTTATGTGAGTGTGAGGCGTGGAATACCGCGCTCGTTGAAGAAAGGAAATTTACAGTATCCCAAAGAGCAATGGAGTGACGGATGGTTGGCATCAACAGGCGGCAGCGCATTCCAAATGAAGTGCTTCAAGGCAAATCTGGCGTGAAGGACATTGTCGGAGCAATGTATTCCAGCAAGAAGAGATGGGTAAATGCGGGGATCGCTTACTGAAGATAGGTTTTTGCATGACAAATCCTACTCGCATAAGCTCAGTTTTTGTTTGCCTTTGCTTTTTTTGGTTTTGGGGACAGGTTCATATTCTTTGATTTCGCCTTTTTTCCTTTTATTGACAAATTCATGTTTGTTTTAATTTACTTTTCTTTGTAGTGCCGTGCTGGTTTAGCTTTCTTTTTACTGCTATCTGCAGTTATTGCTTCAAACTCCTAACTAGCACCGTTCTTCCCCTCCTTCATCCTGCCTCCACTCCCTGCCTCCAGAACCGCATCGGGGCACCCATCACCTCCAACCAATATCACAGTTTATCGCCCTGAACTCTCAACCAGTAACTTCATTCCTCATCACTAACCTGGCCTCAATCGCGCCCTCTGAGTTGTATCTGAGCAATTACCAACCAACGTTCCCCTCCCGTCCCTCCCCCAACCACCCCCAACCCCCCCACCCACCACCTCCCAGCCACGCGATCCAACCGCCAGACACTGGGTAGGTCTGGCAGAGTTTCAGGCTGTTCCACTGAGCGGCGCTGCGAAATGGTGTTGGCAGAGATGTTGGCAGCGTCTAAGCCAAAAATTATAAATTCAGCCTTTACGCACCCCTCGGTCTCACGTACGCACACGTCAAAGTTTAAAG